CAGCCCCACGGGAAAGAGACTCGGGCAGCACCACCCATGGAGGGGCAGGGCTATGGGGTTCCCGGCTGAGTGCTGGGGCCCCCCCACATGAGGGGGCATGTGGAAGGGGCTGCTGCTGGCAGGTGACCATGGATGGAGTGCAGAACGGTGGCAGCACAGTACACACAAGTACACACAAGTATGGCCGGAATGCTGTTCCTGGAAATGTGCCATCCCAAGCAAATTCAGCTACGGCAATTGCAGAGCTGAAGTTGACGTAGCTCATTTCGACTTTTGGCGCTGTCTACACAGCAGGAAGTCAAAGGAAGAACCCTCTTCCTTTGACTTTCCTTATTCCTCCTGAAATGAGGGTTACAGGAATCAGAGTAAGAAGTCCTCCATCTCGACATTATTTTGAAATAACGGCTTGCTGTGTAGATGCACATTTTGTTTTCCCAAAATAACATCAGTTATTCTGAAATAATGCTGCTATGGAGCTATAGTCTAGGAGAATATTGCAACAGTTGGTATCTCTCCAAAGTTCATGTCCTGCAATGAACAAAAATATATGATGTGAACTTTCTTTCCACTAATGAGTTTAATTGTAGTTTTGTTGAGCAATTACAGTACTTCTGTATGAGGTTACACTCATTATACTAATTCACCTAATATTCACATAGTATTACTTAGTATAGGTAGCCATACAAACCCTTTAGAGAAACCCTGAGTGTTTCTGAGTTAGCTTGGAAATCATACAAATTTTGTGGTTAGCAAGAAATAGACTGCCACCTTTTCAAATACAGTGAAACTTTTGTTATCCGGCACTCTGTTAACCAGAAAACTTTGTTAACCGGCATTGCCCCCAGCCACAAAACTGTCATATCTTCAGGCACACTGGCCTGGCTTAGTTTACCATGATTGGCTTAACAATTTTTTATTTAAGAAGTAACTATAATCATCTATAACTGAAAATAGAAATGTGAGGCCTACTGCCTCACACTACAGAACTACCAATATTAAAAACCTGAGTTTTACTATTATTGTCCATTGTTTTTTCCTAGGTTGATGGGACCCTCAGATAACCGGAATTTTTAGATAACCAGAATGCCCTAATCCTCGAGTATGCTGGATAACACAGGTTTTACTGTAATATGGAGAAGCTTTAAATTGTCTTGTACAAAAAAAAGTTTTTTACCACTATTTGAATATTAAGTTAAATTGGCAAAAATGCTATCTTAGTTAAAGTCAAGAGAAATTAAAATAGCTGAAATCATTATCACAATCCATAGGTGTCTTTACTATGATATGGATTCCCTGTTTTTTGTAAGTAAAAAAAGGGGAGTGAAAACTGTCGTAAAGGTTTATTTAGGGAAATCTAACCTGAAAAATACTGCCAGATGATCACATTGTGGAGTTTGTGTCTGGTAGGCCGGAAACACACAGGTACAAACTGTCCAGCAGTAAGGCCGTGTCCACACTCAGGGGTTCTTTCGAAAAAAGTACCCTTTTTTCGAAAGAACTTCCCCTGCATCCAGACTCAAGCCGCGTTCTTTCGAAATTATTTCGAAAGAACGCGGCTTTTCTTTCGATGGCGGTAAACCTCGTTTCACGAGGAAGAACGCCTTCTTTCGAAAGTTCCTCTTTCGAAAGAAGGCGTTCTACAATGTAAAGAGGCCGTCTTCGAAAGAGAGCATCCAGACTCGCTGGGTGCTCTCTTTCGAAAAAGCGGATTTCCTCTATCGAAAGATCCGCCTGCTGTCTAGACGCGATCTTTCGAAAGAGGCTCTTTCGAAAGATGCTTTCGAAAGAGGCTCTTTCGAAAGAAGCCTGCAGTCTAGACACAGCCTAAGAAAGCAAAAGGGATCATGCTCACTCAGCAAGCAAATTAACTTTTAAAGCTTAAAAGATCTCATCCGGGATTATGCCATGAGAGAAGACCGAGACGAGCTTGTGATAAAGCAGCAAAGAATTATGAGGGTACAAACCCCCCTACTTGACAGAAACAAGAACTCTGAAAAAACCCCCAGAAAGTAATGTATAAGTAAAGGTGATTTTAAAACCTTGCCACAAGGGCACTGATTACTATGCAAAGCCACATTTGATTTGTCCACCCCTTTCTCTGTCTGCTTTGAGGTCATTTGAATTCTGAAAAAAAAAATTATAAAGCAATTGTTAGAAAATAGCAATAATCTTTTATCGTGAGTGCCTGAAAACATCGTGTGCTGTAGCTTTTGGCAACTATACTACAAAGGGTTGTTGCAAACATGTCCATGGGTTACATTTTTGGGAGGTTTCCTCTTTTAATGAAGAGCAGTTATTTCCTAGTAAAAAAATGGATATGGTTAGTATAGATCATTGTTTCTCAACCAGTGGTACGAGTATCCTTAGAGATACTCGAGAGAAGTTGGGGGGGGGGGGCTACATAAACACAATTGAAATTAGAAGAAAACTGAATTTTTGCTTTACGTTTTACAGCACTTCATTATTTTTGTACTTTTTACACAGAAAAATGTAATTTCCTGCCCGGCTACAATTAAGTTATTTAAACAAATGTGTTGTAATGGTAGAAAAAAAATGTGTGTCTGAAAATTGTATGTATTGGGGGTACTTAATTTTTTTAAGGAGGTACTTTATAAAAAAAGATTGAGAAGCATTGGTATAGATGACTTAATGGAGTCTGTGAAATCGAGAAACGCCTTACAAAATACATACACCATAGGAATCTTAGTAGTATGTACAACTTGAAGGCTTAGCCAGTCATTGCCCAGGTCCAACTCAAGGTTGTGAGGGGTGTTGAACAGGCCTCTCACTGGCGCTCCCCCAGGACAAGGTGAGGACCAGCCCAAAGCGTGGGGGAAAGGGGTTGTAGAGACCTCCCACTAGTGCTCCTTGGGCCTATACTGAGGAGTCAGGGCAGCAGAATCCACAGACTTGCCAACATGGCTATGCTGGACAGCCCGGCAGTTCTGGGGGGGAGCTCTTATGGGTCCTGCTGTGGAAGGGGGAACTGGGGCTATGCTGCCCAGCCCTGGCAGTGCTTGGGGGAATGGCAAAGCAGTGAGAGCAGAGGGGCTTTCCCCCAGGCCCTTGGGGTTAAGGGCAAGGAGTTAGGAATTTGGGGGGAAGGGGAGACAATTACCTGGGTTGGTGGCAGACAAGATGGCAAGCCCCATCCCCAGCTGGCCACACTCTTCCTAGTGCTGCCCCCAATGGTCACTTTGCAGTATAGCTGCACTTGCCCTCGCTGCCCCCAGAGGTAATGATGCGGTATTGCATCCCTCTGATTGGCCCCCCTCCCTTTCCATGTTATAGAAGGCAATTGAATTTCAGGCAAATCCCATTTTCCTGTCACAACTAAACCCTGACTTTATGTTAAGTTAGGAGAAGAGGAAGTTGCATAACAATGTTGGTGGTCCTTACTCCCGCTGTGTAGGAGGAGTTCTTGAACAAACAGACTCACAGACAGACACCTCTGAAATATAGAGCGAGATTATGCAAAATGTGTTTTGTCAGGGGAAAAAACGCTAAACGTATATGTGGTTCTTTTCATTAGCGCCAGGATAAACTGAAAATCTTCATTTTGGCTCAGCAAATGTACCCTGGTAACATACAGTTCTTTTTGCCGGTTTTGGAGGACATTACTAACAACCCTTGTGGGCTGGTGGATTTAAATGCTTCAGCGCCGGAAGCTTACAGCCTAAGAACAGTTTTACCCCAGCCAGACTCCCCCTTTATATATACCTTAAAATAAAAACAAATCATTTTTAATCGAACCCCCATTTTAAAAAGCATGTTTAGCAACGTACAAAGAAATCTGGCTCCTTGAAGGTGCCATCTTCTGCTCTGCTTCTGACAATCCATAAAGAGCTCCCCTAGGGGGTTGGAGATTAGATACTGGGTGGGAAAGTGCCACTGGGTATCTGAAACTGAATCTTCCCTAAATTTCAACCCTGTTTACCTGCAGCTTCCAGTTGAATGGGAAAAGAGGTCAAGGTGGGGTTGACTGGCAGCAGAAGGGGGAAGAGGAGGCCTTTATTACTATTTCTGTGTGCAGGTGTGTGTTTCATGTTTTATCTGGAGCAATTCACCCAGCTACGTCTGCAGCACCCAAATTCTCCTGACTCTGCCAAATCCAGGTGTGGTAATCAGTGTGATAAGCAGGTGCCAATTAAGGGCAGATCCCTGGGTTGCAGTCAGCCATTGCAGGGCACCCAGCTGGGGGAAAAGTGTGGTAAACTGAAAACTGCAAGATTATTCATGCATTTATGTAAACCCCTCCTGTTTGTAGCTCCTAAGCAGGACAGGAAATGTCTCAGAACTGGCCATCCAGGCCAATATGCCAGCTCTCATGGTCCCAAGGGGCAGGACACTTTCCCCAATCACTAGATATAAAAGTCATCACTTTACTTTTACAGAAAATGATTCAGTTTCACTTTGCAGAAAACATCGCAAAACAGAAATAAAGCAGTTAATGGTTAGGGCTACAAGAACAAACTGACCATCCCTGTTACCAAGTATTTTCAAGGTAAGTAACTTTGTTTCTAATTTTTTTAAAGTATTTAAATCTGTCTGTCATGGATCTTGATGGATGAAATTTAGAAAATTCCCTACATATTCATCAAATATTGATTAAAAACTGTACAAAGCAAATACACAAATGTACACCCCTACTACCAAATATTTCCCTCATAGAGTTGTTTTCTGAAAATGCTCCCTCCTCTACAGCCCTCCTCTTATGTTATTAGAAGGATTATCAAGTGGGCGGTAGATGGTTTCCGGATATGAATGTTCATGTTGGAAGTTTCTCAAGGCAGGGGCTTGTCAATTGCATTTCCCTGAAACTCTCCAGGTATGTTTATGGTGCCGCGCAAATAATAATAATTGAGATTAACAAATTGCAGCATCCTTTACAAATATCACTTGCATCAAAACAACATTTCGTCAGACCAGGCCGTATTCCAATCATCAGCACCCTATAAATAGAGAGTGTCTCCTTCTTCTGGCTTCCTCGACATCTCTTCTCTACAGTGACGTTGAGTTCCCAACCAAACTTCAGCTATGAAGATCCTTTACCTTCTTTTTGCTGTCCTCTTCCTCATGATGCAAGTTGGTGCACAAGGTAAGATTTTAATGAAATGTGGGAGCCTGTAGAAGGATATTTGGGAGCATGAACTAAAATTAGCTAAAAAGCTGTCATTTTTTTCCCTAAATCTTTTTCTAAAGAGTAGTACTGCTTACATGTCTGGCAGCGGAAACTCAAAGGCTGTGTCTACACTGGCATGAATTTCCGGAAATGCTTAAAACAGAATAGTTTTTGTTATAAGTATTTCAGGAAAAAGAGCGTCTACATTGGCAGGCTGCTTTTCCGGAAAAGCCCTTTTTCCGGAAAAGCATCTGTGGCCAATGTAGACGCGCTTTTCTGGAAAAGAAAAGTGTCATTTTCGCGATCGGGGCTTTTTTCCGGAAAAGACTACTGGGCTGTCTACACTGGCCCTTTTCCGGAACAGTGTTCCGGAATAAAGACTTATGCCCGAGCGGGAGCAGCGTAGCTTTTCCGGAATAGCGGCTGATTTTGTGCAGTAGAGCATCGTTGCTTTTCCGGAAATTCAAGGGCAAGTGTAGACAGCTCGCAGCTTATTCCGGAAAAGCGGCTGATTTTCTGGAATAAGTGGCCCAGTGTAGACACAGCCAAAATGTATTTGTGAAACAGTCCTGGGATCAGAAAGGTGCCTGTGATGTTCTTATGAAAGTCCATTCAGATTTGGCTGAACTATGAGCTGTGAAAATATCCCCAGACTTCAATCTAGTGGCGTCCCTCACAGACTGTATTCAACAGTTCCATCAATGACCTGACAGGGAACATGAAATCATCACTGATAAACTTTGCCATTAATTGTGCACAGAATGACAGACATTTAAGTATTATGAAACATCCAATAAAATATTCAGGAAGTAAATGTAGTTGATTTGGCTGGGCCTCAGTGATTGTGAAATCGCTGCCGGTCTGCACGAACAGCTCTTCTTTACCCTGCTGTGTGAATGAAAATTAAGACTCTTTCTTTATTCAGGAGGTTGTCGTCCCGGGGCTGTCTTGAGATGTTGGAAAGCAAAAGGAGACTGTTACTTTACACGATGTCCTCGTAATAAAAAATACTTGGGACGCTGCTGTAGGTGGGGCGTTTGCTGCAGATGAGTAAGTTCAAGATTCCACACAGGTTGTGCTGTGAGAATAACAATATTTGTTCCCCTATTTTCCCTGTGCCAGTCGTTGTTTAAGTCTCCTAGAAGCTCCACATCCACAGGATGACTGAGGACAAAGTGGGGCAAAAGAGGCTTCTGTGTTACCTTGACATGGACTAATTGAGTACTGGATTGACTCCTTATAACAACTTTATTGACTTCTCTTACTTACAGCTGCCTTGCCCAACCTGTCTAGGGCCAGTCCCCATGTTGGGGAATCTAGACTCTTCAGTCGATATCAGTTGCCCCCTCTGAAGCCTGATAACACCCAACGTTTTCTCCAGTGCAGCCCTTACAGCAGCACTTGCAAAGAGGGTGGAAAATAGACAATTCTCTCACACAAGTGTTGTTCATACATTGAGGCTGTGTCTACATTGGCACCCTTTTCCGGAAAAGGGATGCTAATGAGACAAGTCGGAATTGCAAATGCCGCGGGGGATTAAAATATCCCCCGTGGCATTTGCATGAACATGGCCGCCGCTTTTTTCGGGCTTGGGGCTTTGCCGGAGAAAAGCGCCAGTCTAGACGGGATCTTGCGGAAAATAAAGCCTTTTCTGGAAGATCCCTTATTCCTGATTTTAAGAGGAATAAGGGATCTTCTGGAAAAGGCTTTATTTTCCAAAAGATCCCGTCTAGACTGGTGCTTTTCTCCGGAAAAAAGCGGCAGTCATGTTCATGCAAATGCCACGGGGGATATTTAAATCCCCCGCAGCATTTGCAATTCCGACTTGTCTCATTAGCATCCCTTTTCCGGAAAAGGGTGCCAATGTAGACACAGCCTGATAGAACTCTTCCTGAGTCCCTTTCAAAGCCACCATTTCTCCCAAGAGCAGCATAATGCAGACGGGGCAGTGGCCACACTCCTCTGTGTCTACATGTCATTTTACTATAGAGACAACAACAGAAAAGAAAACAAGGGAAGTCTCCAGATGAAAGCTTGGGGCATATGTTTTCTCTGCACCAATTTGCAGGGAACTCTATGGGCATAACGGGTGCATTCTGCCGGCAGGCAGCAAATTTAGATCGTTAATGCTTTGATCACAAAAGTACAAGATTTTAGCAACCTAAACTATGTGGCTGTGTCTACACTGCACCCCTTTTCTGGAAAAGGGATGCAGATTTGACCAGTCGGAATTGCAAATCCGCAGGGGATATTTAAATCCCCCACGGCATTTGCATTTACATGGCTGCCGCTTTTTTCCAGCTTGGGGATAAGCCGGAGAAAAGCGCCAGTCTAGACATGATTCTCTGGAAAATAAGCCCTTTTCTGGAGGATCTCTTATTCCTACTTTCAAGTAGGAATAAGAGATCCTCCGGAAAAGGCTTTATTTTCTGGAGAATCACGTCTAGACTGGCGCTTTTCTCCGGCTTATCCCCAAGCCGGAAAAAAGCGGCAGCCATGTAAATGCAAATGCCGCGGGGGATTTAAATATCCCCCGCGGATTTGCAATTCCGACTGGTGTAATCTGCATCCCTTTTCCGGAAAAGGGGTGCAGTGTACACACAGGCTGTGTGTGTTGGGGGAAAGTAATTCTGCCACATTAGAACATAACTTAAAACAACTCTACTGGATCACACCAAAGCTCCATCTAGCCTAGTATCCTGTCTGCCAACAGTGGCCAATGCCAGATGCCCCAGAGAGAATGAACAGAGCCGGTAATCATCACGTGATATATCCCTTTTCTCCCATTACCAGCTTCTGACAAACAGAAGCTAGCGGGACCTGATTCCTATGCATCCTAGCTAATAGCCATTGATGGACCTATTCTCCATTAATTAATCTAGTTCTTTGTTGAACCCTATTAAAGTCCTGGTCTTCACAACATTGTCTGGCAAGGAGTTCCACAGGCTGATTCTGCATTTTGTAAAAAAATACTTTCTTTTGTTTGCTTTAAACCCTCTACCTATTAATTTTATTTCGTGACCCCCTAGTCCTTATGTCATGGGGACAAGTAAATAACTTTTCGTCATTCACTTTTTCCGCATCAGTCATGATTTTATAGACCTCTATCATATCCTCCTTTAGTCTCCTCTTTTCTAAGCTGAAATGTCCAAGTCTTTTTAATCTCTCTTCATATGGGACTCATTCCAAATCCCTAATCATTTTTGCTGCCCTTTTCTGAACTTTTTCCAATGCTAAAATATCTTTTTTGAGATGACATGGCCACATCTGCACACAGTATTCAGGATGTAGGCGTACCATGGATTTATACAGAGGCTATAATATAGTCTCTTATTCTCTATCCCTTTTTTAATAATTCTTAAATCCCATTGTTAATGATTCCTGACATTAATATATCCCAATATTAAATTATTGCATGTGTCTCAGACCAATCAAAATAATTTCATATTGGTATTTAATCAAGGCTTATACTTTTAAATGTTACATTGTATATTGTGGTCATTTCCCTATTCTCTGAGGGAATGAGATTAGGGAGGGAGAGATAGCTCAGTGGTTTGGGCATTAGCCTGCTAAACCCAGAGTTGTGAGTTCAATCTTTGCAGAGGCCATTTAGGGATTTAGGGCAAAAATTTGTCAGGGAAGGTAGTTAGTTCTGCTATAAAGGCAGGGGACTGGACTTGGTGACCTGTCAAGGTTCCTTCCAATTCAAGGAGATAGGGAATCTCCATTAATTTAATTTAGATCCTGTTTTCAATAATTAGCTCAGGACGAATTCAAGCATAGCATTTTCTTAGTACACTGTAATACTGGTAATAAAGAACAGCTCACCAGCTATTTACATAATAACTCCGCCTTTTTCCATCCTTGTCCATTTATGGAAATGTTCCCTTTTAGGGGGACTATCTAGACTTGTTCTGGAAGCAACAGACCAGCATTGGTTTGGAGTTCTGCAGTGATCTGTTTGTGACCCTTCACTATTTAGCATTTTTCTCCTGGAACTGAAAGAAAATGTGAAATAATCACCAATGAATTTTGTAGCAAATAATTATTGAGGAGCTGGTTAAATAATGAAGAGGACTAGATATTGGAACAGAGCAATTACTAGGAGGCTGCAGAATGGAGTTTGAAAATTCAGACTGGAAATGGCTACAAGTTGAAGCTAGAAAATCTGGACTGGAAATCAGATGTAAATTTGTAATAGGGATGATCCTAACTGTCAGGGTGGTCAAATATTGGAATAAATTGCCAAGGGAGGTGGTGGAATCTCCCTCTCTGGAGATATTTAAGAACAGGTTAGATAGACATCTGTCAGGGATGGTGTAGACGGAGCTTGTTCCTGCCTTGAGGGCGGGGGGCTGGACTCGACCTCTCGAGGTCCCTTCCAGGCCTATGATTCTATGATTTTATGATTCTATCCAGGGGTTTGGGAGGCTTCTTCACTGACAATTTTTAAATTGAGACTGGATGTTTTTTCTGAAAAGATCTGTTCTAAGTTATTTTATGGAAAAACTTTGGCCTGTGTTATGGCGGAGGTCCCACTAGAATAGATGATCATAATTGTCTCCAGCAGCCTGGGAATGTATGCATCACTGAAATATATTGTAAATAAAAACAGCTGAGGGGAACAAATGTCCAATAAGCCCATGAGGAAGCCTTTTTAGCTCCAAGAGCTTTGTTTTCCCTCTGTTACTATTTCGTTCATGCCAGAGAAATCTCCAATAGCTAATATCCTCTAAGTGCTTACAAACTGATTGTTTAATAATTTGTTTTACCATCTCCCAAGCATTTACAGTAGTCTGATTGGTCTATAATGGTCTTAGTCCACTTCAGTCCCCAGATTTCTGCAGCCATTTATTTACCCTCCATGAATACTTGCATGTATATAACCATTGTTATTAAAACTCTGTGGCTAAAACATTTCGTAGGAACAATGGATCCCCTGCTCTGGAACTAACCAGGAATATCTTCCTGATTTGCCTTTGATTTCTAATGTAATATTATATTATTCTTTCTTTGGTTATACACACAGGGTCCAAGTGAGCGATGGCAGCAAAGACTGTCAATGCAGCATCTCTGGAAATCTGGGAGACATCAACTTGCTTCTAAAACCTTTGGAGAAAGTCCACAAAGGAACTTTGTATCATATTTTAAGACTTTTTACTCTTCTTTCAATAAAAGCAACTGGTTGTGTTGGTGTATGGCAAATAGGTGTGTGAGTGTTTTCGTTAACACACAGGGAAGGTTGTTTTCATATTTCTTTTCCATTACAATCTCTTTCCTCTTGCTCCTGTGCATCTCAATACAGAGCAATGGGGATGACGGCCACACTTTGAAATGTTTGCCGTGTGGAGTTGCTAGAAGGCCCCATGACAGAAATCTCATCCATGTTCCATGTCCCAAAACTATGACATGGTTATTCCATGGCTGTCCCAGGAACTGTAAAGCATGTGAGAAGAGATTGGTGTGTCTGTCTCCATCTCCACCACTTGCCTCGTTGTTCTCAGAACATATAATCCCTTGGCACATCACTCTCCCCTCCCCTTCCCATTCCATTCAACTATTTGTAGGGAATGCAGATCCATGTACCTGTCCATTTAATATATGCTGTTGGGCTCACCTAGGACAGGCAGAATCTTACTCACCATAGCCCAAGGTTTACACTGAACAGGGCCCCTCATTCCCACTATCCACCTTCTGCTGGGACTCCTGCCTCTGCTTCAGCCAGGCTTTCACAGCCATGGCCACCCAATACACACCTGGTCCACAGCAGAGCCCTGCCCCCCTCCGTTGGGTCATCTGTATTGTAACTCTCCCTTGTCTGGATTTCAGATTTTTATATTTACATTACCTGCAGTTCCCCCCGCCACAGCACCCCTCAGCCCAGCTCACATGGAGACACAAGGTAAGGGGCCCAGATGGCCTAGAAGAAGCAGGGACCTGCAGATTTAATGAATCACAGAAGGCAGGGTGCAAGACTTAGAGTTGTGTAGAGAGGCTAGAGGGGAAAATACAAGGCAGAAATCCCTCCCACCAAAAAAACAAACCAAAAAGTCCTCGACTGTTCTCTTCTACTCTTTGGTGACAAGACAGGAACGGTGAAAAATACTGTGACTGTCCCTATAAAATCATGACATCTGGTCACCCCTCCAATTTTTCCTCTCTTCCCACCTTCTCCTCGCCTCACCTGTATCTGAATCCATAGCTTGTCTTCCCCCAACTTTCTATTGGCACTTACCCCTCTTCTGATGTACTCCTTTTCTGTGTTCCCTCCCCAGGCTGAAATCTGGAACTGGAGAACTCCTGAGCCCTCTGCCTTACCAGTCTGATTTCCTCTCACAGGGTGTGTCTAGACTACAGGGTTTTGTCAACAAAAGTGGACTTTTGTCCACAAAACTATACCTGCGTCTACACTACCACACAGTTCTGTCGACATACTGTCGGCAGAACTCGGCAGTTTTGTCGACGGCAGTTCTGTTGACATACTGCAGAACTCGGCAGTTTTGTCGACGGCGGTAAACCTCATTCTACAAGGAATAACGCCTTTTGTCAACAGAGTTCTGTTGACAGAAGGCATTATTGCATCTACACTGTCCTTTGCATCTACCCTGTCCTACACTCTTATGTCGACAAAGCAGCTTGTTTTGTTGACAGAACTGGATGTAGTCTAGACACACTCACACTGTTTCACTGTGACAAGCTGCAAAATCTTTCAAATTTGCCATCACACAAATATCCCCAAGTTGGGGTGACTCAGCTGTGTTCATAAATAGTCTGTCCATCCACTGCATAAACCAACAATATAGAAGTTCCAGCCAAATTACTTCCAGCACCATAGCCTCGGCCTCCAGAGCTGTACCATTCTGCCTGGGTCAAAAACCTGACCAGAATGAATTTATGACCCAGGACATCCTCCCTCAATGTGAAGGGGATAATGCATAAGTTCCCTGTTTCTGAAGCAATTTCTCTTTATACTTCAAACAATACAATTTCACATAAAATATAAAATAGTTGTATTAACTGCAGAAAGATAGTCTTTGAGTGATTATAGGTCACATGATGAAAAGAGCTCTAAATTAGTTACCTAAGAAATGAACAAAAACACAATCTACGCCTAGCATACAAGCTAGGATTTGAATTAAGTGCTGTCTCTCCTGTCAAATAGTATAACCAGCTTCTATACACAGGCAGGCCTCCTTTCCTGCCTCAGACCAACCTTTTCTCCATTTGGGTGTTTCCAGATGATCTGTTGTGTTGTGGGAGGTGAGTTCCCTTGGTGATATCCCTCCCCCCTTTTATAGCTCATTCCACATGGCAGGAAACCTTTGTTCCAAGCCAAGTTTCCAGGTACCAAAATGGGAAAATACAGGTACCAAAATGGAGTTCAGTATCATGTCATTTAGTCACATGCCCTTACGTGCTATAATCTACACACAGAAAACAGGCTGACAGAACCATCTCCAGGACAGTTCATTGGGTGAAGACAAGCTTTCCTCGTGGCTATTTGTCTTTGTGGATGGATCATTCAACTTGAATAGGCCACTCAGAGTATGCTAGCAGACTGTATGCAAATTGCATTGTGGGTATTATCTTAGGCCCAAACACACGTGAAATACAGATATCTAGTCAATATTTCATGACTCCAAACACTAAACTGATACATACAGGCACAGGATAACCATATTCAGCAACACTTTTGCATTGACATCTCACAACATATTTTGTATAAGATGTATGAAAATTATGTGATAATCATAACAATGGGGTGCAGTATCCCACTCTCATATCTCTGTGCAGTTCCAAACCTCTATTCCAAACTACTCTGCCACCATTAACATATTTTGTATAAGATGCATGAAAATTATGTGATAATCAATGGGGTGCAGTATCCCACTTTCATACCTCTGTGCAGTTCCAAACCTCTATTCCAAACTACTCTGCCACCATCAGTCAGTCACCCTGCAAGCGTTCTCAAGTACATTTTTTTAAATAATAGCTTCAATGTTTTTTTTAATTGTCTGCTGAGCCCATTTCCCCAAAATAGTACAAGAAAACCTGTGTTATCCAGCATGCTCGGGGATTAGGGCATTCTGGTTATCTAAAAATTCTGGTTATCTGAGGGTCCCATCAACCTAGGAAAAACCAATGGACAATAATAGTAAAACTCAAGTTTTTAATATTGGTAATTTTGTAGTGTGAGGCAGTAGGTCTCATGTTTCTATTTTGAGTTAAAGATGATTAGTACTTCTTAAATAAAAAAATTGTTAAGCCAAACAAGCCAGGCCTGTGCACCTGAAGACGTGACAGTTTTGTGTCTGGGGGCAATGCCGGTCAACAAAGTTTTCTGGTTAACAGAGTGCTGGATAACAAAGGTTTCACTGTAATATAACCATCGACTCTGTCATTTATTCCCTAAAATGTTTAAAACTAGGGTTTTCACTAGATGGGGTCTGGGAAGGAAATAGAGTCTGTAGACTGACTGAATGAAATGACCTACCAAAAAACGGACATATTATTTTCAGCAGGATGTAAAATTCTGCTTGTAGCCTCTCCCCAGCTACATATGTGATGGTAATGGAAAGTATGAGGGTACGTCTACACTGTAGAGCTTTTCCAGGATACCGGAGGTTCGCAATTTGCGTATCTTTTCACCACTTTTCTTTGCACAATTTGCGTATCTTTTCACCACTTTTCTCTGCCGCCTAGCCGTAGCCTTAGAGAGCAGATTAATGGTTTCATTATGGAAAAAGAGCAAATAGATCCGCACTGGCCTCACTCTGCATGGCTGTGTACAGGTGTCAATTTTTAAAGCCTTTACTCACAGAGCTTCCCCACTCAGGCAGAAAACGGGATAATCTGCTCCAGCCATCTAATGTCTTGTGTATAGATCCCATAAAGAAAATATACATATCTGGCATGCTTCCAGTGGTGGGGGGTTTCAAGAGGGCCCATACTTTCTGGATGGCTGTGCAGTCATTGAATTTAACAGCTCTTTTTCTCATGGGTATGTCCATGGGTTTGAAAAGGTGCAGAACCCCCAGGTTGGGACAACCTTTGGTCAGCTGTACTAGCAGATTCATTTCAGAGCAGACTTTCTGAAAAGGCCCAGGAAAATAATCAGAACCCTATGTGAGCATAAATGGAGAGCCATGACTGGGAGCTTGCAGATGTGCTAGCCAATACCCACCTGCCTCAACCTCTGACGCACAGAGATAGGCTTTTCTGGAGAGACTAACACTATCTATCTATATCAGATTTTCCGGGAGAGAGACTAACACTATCTATCTATATCAGAACCTAAGGCTGGCGAGAAAATCCACAGCTCTGAATGTATCAGTCTGTGCCTGTGTGTAAACAAGAACAAGGAATACCCCGTGAAACCCCAAAATCTTTTATGGCAAATTTGGCCCAAGCTCAAGCTATTATGGATTTGCCAAAGTAAAAAATATCCTTCCAGGGAACTTGGTTTCCCAGTGTGGCCAGTCAGGGGAAATGGCAAACTCATGTTCCCTCTGTACCTGGCGTGTTTTGAATCCAAACAGCAGCTTCCTTGTACCCACACTGAGGAGCAGAGGGATGTCATAGGCTACGGCCACTCTGTGGAGTTGAATCTGGCTGTGAAGAAGAGGCCCAGGCTGGTCACAAGTTATGAAGACTGGCATTGTACTGACAGAGTGGACTAGCTGTTCTCTGAGCACATTAAATTACACCTTCATCAGAAATAAGAGGTGGCAGGGTTCCCCCCCCCCAGTGCATGGACATGGAAAAACCAAACCAGTACTTGGACAATGTCTATATGAAGGAAGGCCCTCTTTTACGCAGAGTTTACATTTACTATGAACCAGCTAAACTGGTTCTAATCTCCATATGGATATCCTAACACTGGTCTAGTAAGAGATCTTCACAAACATTTTAAGTGTGTATTTCAGCCATACTTCCTGTGAATTTATCAGTGATGAAATGGCTTGTGTATGTTGCAGATATGTAAAAGAGCCTTACACAACCTTTGCAGATGTCAGCATTTTTGTGGCTGATTTCCTACTGCTTATACAGATCAGGAGCTGTACAAGCTGTTAGTCAAGCTAGAGGAGCACTGCCTGTATCTTAACACAGATTGTGATATTTGTGAGTCATGAGAAAGAAGGGAACCTTCCTCTGTGTGATTGCTTAAGGGAGCTGATAAGTGCGCA